ACTCGTACTTCCTTGTCACTGCCACGAAGAACAATAGAACAACGTCACAATGACATAATAGCCCGTACAAGTGCATTCACACAAGGCAGTAAAATGGAGGAGCAATTTGCTTATCAAGGGGGGCGCTGAGAGTTTCTAAGACAGAAGGTCAGTACATGTGAATGACTCCCAAATGCTCAGCAGCATGCGAGTCACAGCATAGGCAGATTAGTACGGAAGTTTAGAGCAGAAGGAAAGAGATGGGGAGGCAGACTGATGGCACGAAGAAGTGCATCCATTTGCATGAAGGGTGTCATTACTGATAACAGTCAAAAGGGTCGGTGGCACAGCGCAGCCGCTAGAAAACAATGGAGAGAACAAATCTCTTCCTGGGTCCAACTGTCACCATCTGATCAAGTGGACGGACAGGCGATGAACGGCGCTAAAGGCGCTTGTGTCTCATCATGTATGAGCACTTTCAGGAACATTCAGTCATGACTCGGGGCCAATTGTAATGCAATGGCCTCCCGGCGCTTCCTTTTTACGAATATCTTTTGCTAATTCATTCTTGATGTTTTCATGTTTCAGATACTTTCACATCTATCATGTTAGATTATTTTTCAAAGATCAATTAACCCCCCCTCCACCCAAAAAAGTGTTAAAAGGCAATGCGTTCACTTTTGAGTCACATTTTAACATTGTCATATACAGTACATGTAAAGTTAACAGGCTTTTAGATTAACATGTAAAAATAATACAGTCAATTTAAAAAGCTAACCAAAAAAAAATAAATCAATGTAATGAAAAAAAACTTTCATTAAAAGGGATCAAATTTTTAACGCTAACAGTAAAAAAAGTCAAACCCAAAAAAATGCTCAATTTTAACTTAATGAAATTGATGCAATGTACTCAATTTATAACAATGTTAACTGTCATACAAGTGTAAAAACAAAGATAACCACCATTAACAGTTATAGACAAACGCAAGAAAACAGCCCGAGCTCAACGTTGACAATGCACAGGGTGACACACATGCAGACGCGCAATACTGTACTGTGATGCAAGCAGAACTGACCTCCCCTCGCTGAACTGGTTCCCACCCAGGAAGCCGTACTTGTCAGTGCGCCTCACCGCCATGCCGTTGATCTCAGAGTCTGAGCCCAGTGAACTGCAGTCGTCCCCGAGGCCCGAAAGCGACTCCAGCGTCCCCGACATCAGGCTGGCAGACTCCAGGTAGCTGAGGGTGTCGGGGGCTGGACGTTGAGAGCCCGGCGCGGGGAGACAAGGCTCCTGGATGAGCGGCACTGTGGGGCTGGAGTGCCCCGCCCTTGGTGGTGGGCTGCAGGGTGCGGGGAGGCTAGGGCCAGGTTCTTGGATCAGCGGCACCGTAGGGCTGGGGCTGGGCTGCGGCACCGTGGGACTGGGGTGCCCCGCCCGTGGAGGCGGGGTGAAGGGTGACTGTGCTTTGATGGGACTTTGAGGCTTGGGGGACACAGGCGGGGGAGGACTCTTGGGTGCTTGCTGAGGTTTCTCCTCCACGGGTGCCACTACTGGAGGTGTTGCTACTGGGGGTGCTGCTAGTGGGGGCGCCACAGGAACTTCAGCCGAGGTGGGGGGAGGGTTGTGGGTGACGTGCACGTTGGGGTACAGATTCGGACCGGCGTTGAGGTCAGGGGAAGGAGACGCCTGTTGTGGCATCACATCGCCTTCAACGGTAGCATCAGGTCCCGCCATTTCCTCTTTCTGGGGCACCGTTACCCTGTCATCACCCACGGGGGTCTCGGCAGTTGACAGACTCGGCGGTGGCAGCGTCACTGGCACAGTGGGAGTGTTTCTGATCACATTCACGTCATTGCAGAGGGAAGATTTGGGCGCCCCGGACGAGGCAGAGGGAGCTGCATGGGCGTCGACCAAGGCAGGCGGCGGCGACGCGGATAAGGCTGAAAGTTCCGCCATGTTGTGACGAGAGCTTACCTGTAACATGGATGGGCATTTTGCAACAATGAATCGGTGAATAAACATTAACAGCTCATACCAATCGTCACGTCCGCAAACACGGCTCAGTGATAGGATGATTACATAGTGGCAACATTAACATGTGGTCATTCGTGTTGTTTTGTTACATTATCAACAAGTAACAGCACAGGCTTGTTTCTTTTTGTTCAATAAGTGGTGGTTACATTTATACAGTAGCTAGCAAGAGAAGGGCTCTAATTAGTCAAGACACATTCAGTTCACGTGTGTGTGTGTGTGTGTGTGTGTGTGTGTGTGTGTGTGTGTGTGTCCCCACTCAGAACTTGCTTCAAGAGCAAGCACATTAATCAAGACACGTAAAGTGTGACCACGTGCTCCAAAGATATTTATTTTTAATACCCAGAATGATTTCCAATAGTTCTCTTTTATTTCAATTTTGAAAAATGTTGGTCATCATAAATAACTGGCAAAGGGACTAAAGCATTTAATTTCAATCAGATAGCAAGTTGCACTACAACGAGGATAACAATGCAACAATAGATGCCAGGCTGCATTTCCTCTTATGCAAGCCAAGACCTTATAAATAGAAAGGATGTGATGACTAATTCCACTTTTTAGCAGACTGCCAGTGCACTGCGCGGGTCGCATGACCAGAGTAACATCTTTTGCACGAGTGGCTCTTTTTAAATCATGCGTGTCCAGCGTTTCAAAATAACAACACTCTTATCAACACAGCGCTGATCCGCTATTCTGCTGATCGAGCAGTGTGAAACCTACATGCTAAGCTAACGACACTTTGCATAGGGCCGCCCCAGTTGGAGGTCTGGCCGCGCAGCTCGGGCGATTTACGCGCGGCTAATTAGCTAACGTGCACCGACGTCCCAGGAGGCCCAGCCTGGGTAGGGTCCGCGGCCTCGGTCACTTGGCTGGCCCCGGTCGGTCGCTCCCCAAACCTCATCAAAATCTCCACTCACCCACGCCCGGCGTTGTCACTGCGACGCGTCCGCCCGGGTGTCCAGGGGATGCCTGGGCGTGCGTTGGCCCGCCACAGCGACGGATCCACAGCCAAGCTCCTCGGTGGAGAGGAAGGAAAACGACAGAGGAGGCGACACAGCGGAGCGGCGACGAGGATGAAGACGCTCGGCGGCTACTGCGGATGGCGGTGATGGTTGTAGTAGTGGTTGATGTTAGCCAGCTAGCCTAGCAGCTAGTTATTAGCTTCTCCTAGCAGCAGCACAGTCTGTGTTGGCATTGCTTGCTCGCGCGCGTTACCTCGTTGACCATTTCACTGGAGCAACGTGCTCACCGGTCGATTTTATTCCCGCATCCTCAAAAGGAGAAACGAACAACTTTGTTTAATTCAAATGAGTTGAGCGGAGCTGACACATCGTCGGCCAGCCGCCCGCATATCCGACTGACAGCTCCGTACGCGCGCGCGTCCGCGGAGGCGGGGACGCGCACGGTGCGACACCTGAGCGCCTCCATTAAATGGTTTATAAATTCACTTTTTGTTCACCACGACAAATTATGGGAAGCTATAACAAATATTTGTCGATTAAATATTTTAATTCGTTCACAAACTCCAGTAGCGCGAGCGAAATGATGACGTCTTTGCGTCACGTTGATATCCTTCATTGATCTCATCGAAAGATGGCGCCAGATCCTACTTATTTCAGCCAGTGGGCCGACTTGTTCACGTCACTGCCAGGATCTGCTCCCTCTTACAGTACCTGTAAGGAAAACCAAGCAGTATAGAGAATGGATGGAAATGAAAAATTACAAGCAACAATGAACAACCCAGAATACTAAAAATATTCAATGTCCGCCATTATTAAACATCCTGGCAAAAAATCTTGTTAATTAGGTGTCGCTCATCTAACGAGAAAATCTGTTTCCGATTTGGGTTTATTTGGGCTAATTACAGAGTCGGAATCCATATAAGTAATCTTACAAAATGTTGTTTCAAACAGAAATTGTTTTCTTCCTGTTAAATTTCAGGTTTGGGCCCTTTTGGAGACTTTTTTGCTTTGCTATAATATGGTGCTGATAGGTGCAACTGGTGATTTTTTTTTTTTTTTTTTTGGAAGGGACATTTTGGGGACTGCGTACCACGTATACACTTGTGACTTTTGAGGCTTGTTGTTGACCCCAAAAACTATTCAAAGCGGCCTTCACATGCCTGGTTCTTAGGTCAGTTAATGGGCAAGCGTTCTACATTCCTCCACCCTTAACTGAGAAGCAGTTCTGTCCAAAGGGAGGATCTAAAGTTCACAGAACTGTCTTTTTGGAGAATTATTGGCTCACATGTTATTTCTGAACAAATTAGGAGGAATAAGGGCGTGATTTCCATTTTCGACATCATGTAGCCATTCTTTCCGCACATCACTGAGAAGCATGTAAATGTTGTGACAGTCTCCATGGGGAAAAAAACCACAGAATGAAACCAAAGAATGAAAACCAAAGTGGAGGAGTCCGCACTGTCCAACACCAAGAGGGAACTCCCAAAGACAAAAATCCAAGATCAAGGAATCCTAAAAGAAACAGACACATGAAACACAACTACCGGTAGTTAAAATATATAAAAATGATCTTTATTTGATATATTTTAAAAAATCATACTGTTATTAGAGAAAAATATAATTACTTAAATTATGCAGTGCAAACAGTATATTAATCTCACACGAACGCATGTGGCTCATGCTTGTACATGGCATTTACATTTGTCATACTGGATTCTAACAATACAATCATTGATCTTCAAAATACAACAATCGTCTGATCACTGACGTGGAAAACCAGCTGACGTGTAACCGTATAGTTCGCTATTGTAGAGGTGTCTGCCTCCACTGAAACATCCAATTTTATTGGAATACTCTCCAGGCATTTAGTGTTGACTCTTTAAAGGTGACTATTTTCATATAGTGGCGTTGTACCATCATCACCGCCTTGTGGATGGGCAGCTACTCGGTTTGGAAATCTTTGTGTGTATTTCAGTTCTCTTCTCTGTCCCTGAGGCTTGTGTGTGTTTCTCAATGGACATTTTTGTCCCCTTCTTACGTCCTTGTGATCTCGTGAAACGTCATCACTCACTCCCCCGACTGTTCAAGTTGAAAGTATGAATGAACAAAGAATCCACGGACTACATGGATGTCAGCAAACTCGGACCAAGGATGCATCGATTGGATAAATCAAAGCTGCATTTCCACCTAAAGTCCCTAGAAGCCAGAACATTTAGTTTTTTGCTACTTTTATCTTCACGGCTGCCGACCCCGCCCATAGAGGTTCTTGGGGCTGTTCTTGAAAGTACTAAGGGTCATGGTCCTCTCAAAAGTATCAGCTTCTTCATTTGGTCAGTAATACTAGCGAAATAATAATACTAAAGTTCAGTGATGGAAATGTGCTAGAAATCAGGAGTGCCGCTCCTTTTTTTTCTTCACAGTTGATCTACGGTTTTATTTGTTTTTCAGATAACTCTGGCGGGGAATACCGCAGGGTCCCCACCCCTGTTTTAAATAATAACGGAATTAAAGCCAGAATTATTTCAAAATATAATATTTTGTGACATCATGTGGTCAACAACAAAAGAATGTGCATGTATGTCGCAGTACGGGAGTGAGGATGCAACAGCCCCATTAGGTATTTTTCGGGTCCTCCAGAGGGAAGGTGTTCACCCATCTCTGAGTGCGCTCCCGACACTGGTCCCAGTTGTACAGAGGGCGGTACTGGAAGTGGCGCAGCGCTTTGTCCGTGCTCACGGTGAAGGACGTGATGGCCACGGCCAGGGTGTAGCTGTTCAAGAGGGGCGCAAAGTTGCAGAAGGGTGTCAAGATCCAGCGTAGCATGTCGTTGAGCATGGCCAGGAACCACAGCAGCAGCATCGGCATGCGCACGCGCCGGAACTTGAAGGTGGACAGGAAGAGCATGTTGAAGTCCTCGTAGCTCTTGTAGGGCGAGTCGTCATAGCAGAAGAAGGCCTCGCCGCCCACAGTTTCCGGATGCTCCCGCAGGGCCCGGGCGGCCAGCGCGTGCATCCACGCCACATTGCCTGCACAGGGGGGGAAAGAATGTTAGCTGGAAGATCCAAACTACTGTTTTAGCGTTACCAAGCCAAGTGATGTGAGTCACTTCTCTGACACCGCGACTGCAGATTGTTATGCTTTACATTGGTAGGAAGCAAAGAGGAAGAAAGAAGTTGCATGACTTCCGCTTTGCTGTCACCGCACTGTATATTTTTTGGGAGTCTATTCTGGTACTCACCGACGTAGACTCGCCCGTGTTCAGTGCTGTCGGGGACGCCGCCAATGATCAGGCCTCCCCTTTTGACTGCCAACTTGTAAAAGTCTTTGATGAGCTCGTGGCCCTCGCCGTAAATGCCGGTCGGCCTCAAAGAGCACGTGCGCAAACGCTCACCATTCCGCACCTGCACGGCAAGAAGAGGAGAAAATACTTTGGGTAAAATTCTGCTCTCAAAAAGAGTTTGAGTCAGCAACATAAAGTTTGGGAAGCATTTTGATCACAAGTAGACTCACAAAAAGGTCGCAAGAAGAACATGGCTCAACCACAAAACACAACACCGAATGATCTGTCAGGTGCTACCTTTGTTCCATTGGCTTCCAGGACAATCTTTTCGGCCTTGGCCTTGCTCTTGGGGTAGGCCATGGTGTGCTTCACTTCGTAGGGTGTGTCTTCATTACCCCTATATAGACACAGCCACAGGACAAGTCATGTATTTATTCATGTCAATATTTATATTTATTCAGGAAGTGTTGCTCAGCACAGCCAAACATTCTTGAAACATAAACACAGCCGAGCAATAGTTGGATCAAATTTTAGGAATATGTCCCACCTGCCGTAAATCACGTCCTCATAATATTTATGAATGACACATGAAGTGAGTAAGTCAGCGACCTACGATACCATGAAAATGTGATTCATTCATTCCTTAGAAGATGTCGCAGGAGAGGAGGATGCAGGAAATGTCACACAGGTCTCTTACCCAGCCTTGTTTTCTTTTCTTTTTGGCATTTTAGTGAGTAAATTCAGATCGAGTGTTTAAGGGTATTCAGGATACCATGTGTGCTTGAAGACGCGTTCCATAACAACCGACATGTTACACACTGGAAAGAAACATTACAGTGGAAAAAAGCAGTCAGCCAAATAGCTGGCTTGTGTGATAATAAACAGGGTAACTGCTCTGTTGACGCACCAAAAAGAGGGGAATGGTACAGCAAAAAAAGGATCCATGCCACTTTTTGGCACTATCCTTTTGGGTGGTAACTAAAGGGCTGCGCTAGTTTTACACATTTTGTAAAGAGTCCCGAAAAATGGGTATGGAGCACTTTTTGGTACTGTAATATTAGGTAACGATCACTAGTTTAGGATGAAGGTTGTACCTGACAAAGGGCTCCCTGTTCATGTTGGGCCCGATCACTTCCATGCTGCTGGTGTACAGCAGACTGCAGACGTTGTTGTTCACACACGCTTTAATCACATTCTCAGTCCCTGGCAAAAAAAAAAAAAAAAAAACACATAATGAAGGAATGATCATTATCAACGCTAACTACATTCTGATTGTTGGAAGGAAGATGGCTTCGGATGACAGCTGGATAAGTGAATTCTTTTGTTTTTGTTCTGTAAGAGCGGACAGAAATAAAATAAAATACGAAGCCATTTTCTCGAAACTCAACTTTTCTCAAAGTGCTGTACGCCGGCCAAATAACAATAATTTTCCATATTCTATAAAACTTTCTAAAAGGAGATTTATAAAACCAGTAACGGTTTTTCTAGTGCTACATCCGGATCTGCACCGTGTTATAAAAACTCCGGCATGTGCACGACCTTCAGGCCAGAAAAAAACCCCGAAGAAAAACAAAAACAACTCAAGATTGCACAAAAAAAAAGGACTGTTGCGGTGAAACGTGTTGCGTTCATGTGTTCCCGATGGGCTCGTAATTGTCAGTTTTTGACGGAAAATGACTGCTTTGTGTTCTTTTCCATTAGATTTGATGTCAGTTTATGTGTAAATCTGTTAAAAATTGACATTAAGGATGGTCAATGTTGCCCGCTGCACATTTCACCATAAAAAACGCGTTACTAAAGATCCAGTCAATATTTATCACCAACTCAGGCCCACAACAACACACCAGAACAACATGAATTGGAGCTCAGACCTCCTACAAGAACCCCTCCAATTCCCACAAAAAAGAAAATCCTCTTTTTAGATCATGAACAAAATGTCAGCAGTGTAATGTCCTTTTCTTCCAGCAAAATTGATTTTCCTCCAGCAAACTGAATTAGTGTTTTCGTAACCCTCTCTGGTGGAGGTAACGCCGACCTCATTGGTCTGCGTGCCAGGAATTGACAGCATTGTGTGGAACCTCTCATGATGCTGTCAACATGGAATATTTGAGGGCTGTTGGAAAAAGGGCCCCCCAGCTAAAGGCTACCTCAATAGCACCACTGACAGCCATTCAGTAGTTGCTGTCTCACTGTACAAATATGCGGACCAGGAGATTTAGACTACACAATGATGTCACTTACAAAGTAGTTGTCTTTTAATGTTTCCTCTATATGGCCTGATGAGTGACAGTGTCGCTGATGGAACAAACAGATGCATGGACAGAATATAAATGCTGTATTCAAGACCGCCAACCTTTATGGAAACATATACATGGCTGACAAGGGTGTGTGAAGAGACCCACAAAAGTGCTCAGCTGGCCTGACAGTGAAAATCTTCTTGCTTGGCATCTTTAATATTCAACCCAATCTACTGGGTTAAAATAATTAACCCACGCGTGCGGAAAAGTAACCCAATCTGCTCAAAATCCACAGCTACCCAGTATGTGGGTTATAACCGACTGAGCATTTAAAAAAATTTTTTTTGGTGTGCAGTCATAGCTCTAGTCCGGAGTGACTGGAGGCTCACCTGTGACATTGACGGCGTAGATGAGAGCTTCTGGGACCTTGTGCCAGACGTCCACCAGGCTGGCGGTGTGGATGACGACGTGGGCGCCCTGGGACGCCGCCAGCACGCTGTCGTAGTCCGTGATGTCTCCCTGGATGACTGTCACCTTGGTACGCCCTGAGGGACCAATCAGGAAGCAGAATTGGCTGAAAAGCTTAAGATCAGAAAAGTTAAAAGAATCATGATGTGATGGTTTATGACTTGGAAAAAAAATCCTGAAAGATGAAGGTGATGTGTTATAGTTGACAGTCAGTGAAGCCCAGGATGGGCTCGTTAGGTGTGGGTTGAGTTCTCTGGTTACAGGGGGGCCTCGGGGGCCTCAAGCGTGTTTGGTGACACGGAATGAACGCCCAAACAAAGCGTTTTTTTTTTTCCCCACAAAGGCATCACGCACATGTCACTCATTCCCGATATCATTCACACCACCCTGACAGGGGAACGCCACTTCTTGATGGATTCATTCTCTCTGTGCGGGGAACCGATGGTTAAACACGGTGCAGTCACTGGGCAACATAACACACACATGCAGTATCCCACTGACACAGATGGCAGGTGGTGACAGGCTCACAGGAAACGCATGAGAGTGGGACATCCTGGAGATGATCTATGCGCACTGACCATGCAACACAGGCAGCGTTTTGCTTACAGTATATTTAAAACAAATATAACAGGCTTCTCTTATTTAGAAGAGGTGTGTCTATGTTTAATAGCATGAAAATAAAAAAGTATGAATAATATGAACTTCCAGTTGCCGGTTTGATTCGTTGTTTGCCAAAGGTTCAAAGGTGAGCAGGAGCAGCTCGCTGGGAGTGTGTGCAAAGTGCAACACTTCAAAACGAACATGCTTTTTCAAACGATCATTTAGTGAAAGTGATTTGAAGTACATTTTATATAGCTTTTTCAATGAGTTGTTTACAATCTGTCAAACTGCTGCTTGTTGTGACTTGAGTTCAGTGCCATCATGTGGTACTTGCATCTAGAAAAAAATATATATAAAAAAAAACATCAGTTGGAACATGTTAAGGGATGCGTTCCAATCAAACCAATTAGTTTTTATTGTTATTTATTTTAATTTGATTGATTTGTTTAATTTCTAGGATTGCTGCGAATTCGCATTATTAGAAATATATAATCGTATTTAAACAACGTGAATCACTGCGAGTCCTCGGTGAAAAGTGCATTCCACGAGACACTTAATTTAAGCGTGGTGTTTCGATCCATTTTCCGTCACACTTACCGGTTCCGAGCTCGCTGAGTCCAAGTTCGGTATGCTTGTCGAAAATTCGAACCTCCGCCAAGGCGTCTTCCTCCTGGTCCAGCAGAACACGGAGGAGGTGACGGCCCAGGAAGCCGCAGCCCCCGGTGATAAGGTACACGAGCCCGGAGCGGCTGTCTGACATGGTGCCGTGCGGTCCGGTTGAGTGTGCTGAAGAGGACGACGAAGAGTTGAAGTATAGCAGCAGCCTATCAGTACGACTCAACCGTGCTGCATTTAAGTAACCCAGGACAGTCCAGTACTTCTTTTTTTCCGAACCAAGTACAGTAAAAGCTTTTTAAGCTGTGAGCGTGAGCAATGTGTTTGCGCAAGATGACCAAAAAAAAAAAAAAAATCCACGCGAAGTACATTTTGGGGAATGAGGAGACATTAATGACGTCATTAAAATGATGCTCGTTGTCACGTTGACGTTTTGATGGCGTCACTCGCTCGTGTTTCGCTTAATATTATTACGGCTACAAGTGAACGCGGAGACAGGCTGGACAAAGTGGCACTGGTAGGATAACAAATAAAAAGTTTGGCAGACGTGTGTGTGTGTGTGTGTGCGTGTGGTTAGTGAATGTACACTACTTCTTGTGGAATGTGTGCAATTTATTTTTACACCCCCGGTATGGACAGCGTCTAAAAATACTGCAATGTGTCGAAACAAGTCAAAGGTTGAATCCTGGTGGTGACAGTTATACAAAAATAAATTGTAAATATCTAACGTGCATTTAAAAAACAAATATGTGTAGTTTCTTCCATATTTTAATAATAGTATGGATTTTTTAACTTGAAGTGATAAATATGTATGTAGCTATTCCGTTCCTTTTTAGTTTGTGCACAACAGGCTCGACGCGTCGGTTTGGTGTGTAGAGGCCTATAAATACTGAATGTTTGATTGTTTAAAAAATATATTTTTTTAAAATTATACAATAAGGTGCTCTTAACTGGTCTGAATTTTACTAAAAATAATTTTATGCCCCAGTGTCAGGACAAATCGAGAAGCCCCGAGTCAAGCCTTTAGCCATCATTCGTGATTTAGCATGTTTAAACTCTTGTTCTTACTGCTCGCCTTTGGACCGTCGTCGAAGGTTGCAGCCTGCTATAAATGGAGCTTAGAGAGCGGGTAAAAGTTCACTTGTGGTGCAAGATTTGCAGGTCAGAAACAAAAAAGTCAAATTTGATGTTTCGTCTTAGCCAGAAAAACAAATCAGATGTAATGCATGACGTAAAACTGCCTTTTTACTATTAGCATTGCATTAGTTATCTGCTTTTTTTCTAAAAAATGTCTGAAAATGAGTGAGGCCTTCTGCCTAACAGTGAGGCTAATTAACATATAAAGCCACACTCACACTTGAGTTTCTTAGCCAATGACATGATTCGCGAGACTGGGCTATGTTCGATAGCAAAAGAACCACTTTGCACTATACAGTTGAGTTGAGTTGAATTGTTCCAAAAGGTAAGCAGAGCTGCAATGTCAGCATGGATTGGCAATGTAACTCGGTTTTTTTCGATCCAGATTAGGTTCTGAAACACTTCTTGATTCTTCCATTCAGAGGTGAGGAACGTGACATAACATTTGACTATTTCTGCCACAGACCTATTAAGACACTTGGGAAGATTTTAAATTGTGAAACACAGACAAAATATCTCCTCTCAGATCACATTTACCGGCAACATAACCGCCGTGGCATCACCTGTTTCATCCATTTCAGGTCACATTCCATCACTTCCTGTTGACATAGCTGCCATGCAGGTGCGTCACATCAAGGGAGGAAGCGGTCGCGTCAAACTATTTCCCGTTTGCCTCTTTCTTCCCCCCACAAACACAAACGACTTTTTCTTTAAAAAATATTTTAATGCACCATTAATAAAGGGTCCAACGCATTAATACAAGATTGCAAATAATATTAAAACAAGGAAGAACCATACAAAATAAACGAGTTGAAGGTATGTACATGTGTCCTGGCGTGGAGAGAACAGGGGAGAGGGAGTGAAAGAGACGGAGGAGGGTCTATTTACAGCTCAGTGTGTTTCTACGAGAAACAAACACTTCTATTTACATCCATGTTCTTTTTTTCATCACTTCATCCCGTGAAGCAGAAAAAAGACTTTTTGCCCTTGTCTTTTTACTACTCGACAGATAAACTTTGGACAGTTTGCCCCCTTTTTTTTGGAAATATCCCCTCAGTAAAAAATAACCTCTAGGTAACCCCCTTTTTCGTTTTGTTTTTATAACCCAATGCAAAACAAAAAAGTGCCTGTTAAAAAACACTTGTGCAAAAACACGCCGACAACAAAACCTGCGGGAATTTGGTGGCAGAAATTCAAAATAAGGAAATGACGACCTGGAATCAGCACAAAAAAAAAAAAAAAAAAAAAAAAAAAAAAAAAAAAACACCCTAACTTGGCGAGGACATTCTGTTTTGGTTTGTAAATGGCAGATAACTTAAGGATCCGGATAACAGGGACGCTTGAAACACTATGCCATAACAGTAATATTGTATAACACTAACAAAAACAATCCCAAAACAAGGAGAAAGCTTGTATAACATAAGCGGAACATGTCGGGATTAAAATTTTTAAAACCCTGAATTTGTGTCGACTTCCTTGTGCGTGAATCTGAGTGGACCTTCCAAGCCAAGGTCCCGCCTGCCCTCGCCACTCACGTAAGAGTGACAGGAGGGGGGGGCCGGGGTGGGTGTTGAGGACAAAATGGCCACCAAAAGTGCGAGGCGCAGTTTTTCAGGCAGTTGGGATGGCGACGGGAGCTTTAGTTGAGCGTGCCGCGACAGTTCTCCGTGCCGCACAGGCACGGGATTTTGTTTTCCTCCAGCGGGAACTTGTAGTCGTACGTGATCTCCTCGTTGACAGCGATGGGCTGCTTGGAGTAGATGACGATCTTTTTCTGGGACTCAATGGTGATCACCTTGGCGTAGCAGTTGGGCTGAATAAGACACGGGGGTCAGTATATTTGAAAAAAGAAATCAATTCATTACAAAGCACAAGCAATTTTGGCGGGAATAAGTTTTATGAGGAATGAGGTGCTTTTCTGTGGGAAGAACAAATGACTCTCATTGGTTGTTTTGCCTCAGGCGTGGTGGTTTCTTGCAAACAAATTTAGAGGCGCGGGATATGGCCAGAAGATGATCATTTCTACTATGGTGCTACTGTCAGGTCACATGGGCAGTTTCAATGAGTGCGCGTATCCACTCACAGTGCAGCAGTGGTTGATAAAGCGTGCCAGGTTTCCGCACTTGGTGGCGTCGATGATGGTGTCGTGGTCCACTCGGAACAAGTAGCTGCTGCCGATGCCCTGCTGGGCGTAGCGCTTTTCGCGATTGTCCGCCACCATCTGCACGCACAGCCACGCACGTTAGATGACATTTATGCTGACATTTGGCAGTGGTGCTACACTGTTGTGTTGAACTGGGGCTCACCTGTCGGATGTTCTGACCCACATACTCGATGACCATCTCGTCGGCAGCGATGGCCTCCATGGCGAACAGACCCCACTCGTGGATCCTGCTACGTCCGAATCGAAGCTTCTTCTTGCGGAACTGCACCAACACCACAAAAAAACAGAACATGGAACTCCTGGAAAATCCAGCCGTCTCACAAAATACAACACCAATAAAATAATGCAAGAAATTTCCAATTATAAATCAAATATTAAAAAATTGTCAAAGAAATACTTGTAAAATCTGATCTAAATAAAAATATATAAACCATACAAATGAAAAAACTACAATACTAATCTTTTTTTTTTTTAAATGGAGATGTAGTCCATTTTCTCTCGCTATTCACGCAAGTTGTGTGATAATTTCCTGCATGTGCTCACTGGCAGATAACTGCGTTGTGAAACACGAGGTTACTGAAGTTACCTTTTGAAGACATCGTGTGCTTTGATCGTGTCTGTAAAAGGGGCCCGTTGCAGAGCGTGCGAATGTTGGCGCACGTATTTGTTGGCCGTACCTTGAGCTGGTTGAGTTTCAGTAGGTCAGAGTCCATGACGGCTGGTGTGCCGATGACAGTGAGAAGGCGCCGCTGCTCTGAGCGTCGCTCCGACAGCACGCGGTTGGTGCCCTGAAGATAAAAAAATAAATAAATAAATAAATTACGAGGACTTGTGTTATCTGATGGCCTTAAGGTGCAGGAAAATCAAAGAACCTTGACCTAAATCCAAGGAATTCAGTGAACTTGATGTGACATAACTGAAAGCAGATATGAGTGTTGAAAGATCTGATACCGTCGTGAAAAGTTTAATCTACACACTTCATGACAGCTAAATTCCTCAAGATGTTTTAAGATTAGCATAGCTGACAACCAAACACTGGATCCCCTGGCCCATAAAATTTGTTCATATGGAACTTCCCGACGCAAACAGTGGAATGGACTTTCGCTCCATGCAGGGTTGCACAACATTGACGGCAATGTGGTCAAGTACAGCAGAAGTGCACCACAAGTGAGCACAAATTTGAATTTAATTACATTTTCCACCCAGATTCGGGAAATCGAACAATGTCTAAATTCTAAACAGCATACAACTATTTCTAACGTTCTAAAAATTCCCACTTTGGCATGAAATAAAATCCAATTGAAATTAGTAGGCACTTTATAAATCAAACAAAACGTCCATGTCGAATAGAAGAGGGTTTTGCTGCCATCTTGTGGCCTGAATAGGGAAACATACGTTTTTGAGACGTGTCAATTATTCTCAAAAGCCCACCAGTCGTGCTTGGGATCCGTCCCTAAAATCTTTGTGGCTTTTTTTTTTTTTTTGGTGGTGGTGTGGGGGGTCACTGTGACATTTCTACAATGTAAAATGTGCCTTGGCATAAATTTTAAGAAAAACTGCTTTAGGTTGCTTTTTACAGTGTCATACCCTAGCCTAGTTGGCGCTCTGGTGCGAAGTGTTCGGGGCCCAAACATACCGAGCTGTCGACGTTCTCCACCTCCCGTATGACCTGTTCGGGCAGGTCCAAGTCCAGGTAGACATCCTTCTCCTTGCGGCTGATGGCATAGTAGCCTTCACTCCTGGCGCAGCCCGTCACATGCTCGCGCAACTGCCCGTCTGTGTTTCTCTTCTTTCGTCGAGGGTTTGGCAAGTTGGTCAGTACAGCTCAGCATTAAGGTCGATATGTCATAACACGAGTCGAACAAAGGGAGCGGCAAAGTATGGCCCACCAACTAACAGGACGCGAGATGGACAGAGTGAGTAGGATATCAGTGTGCTGCACCCAGTGGGTGTCGTTAAGCCAGTCGGAGTTGTGATCATCCTGCAGCAGCTTCTCGTACGTGGTCTTCAGCATCATCAGGTCCTCCCCG